GAATGACCACATAAATATTTGAAATTCTACTGAATTTCATATTTCCTGGATGAGGTAGGATATATCAGGAATGATAGAGAAGCTTTTTCTTCTTCCCAGATACCACTTCATCTTTGGTCACTATTCCTGGTAGTTTTCTATTGTTGCCATAACAGATTACTACAAATTTAGTGGCATTAAATAACACAGATTTATGATCTTACAATTCTGTAGGTTAGAAATCCAACTCACTGAAATAAAATCAAGGTGACAGCAGGGCTACATTCCTTTCAGGTGGCTCTAAGGGAGAATCGTTTCCTTGACTTTCCAGCTTCTATAGGCTGCCTATATTCCTTGGCTTTTGGTCCCCTTCTCCCATCTTCAAAGCCAGCAACATTACCTCTCTGTGACTCTTCTCTGTCATCACATCTCTCAGACAACAGCCAGGAAAGATTCTCTGTTTTTAAGGACTCGTGTGATTAGATTGAGCTCACCAAATAATCCACAATTACCTATCCCCATCTTAAAGTCTATAGTAACCTTAATCATATTTGCCAAGCCCCCTTTGCCATGTAAAGTAACATATCACAGGCTCCTTCTGGAGGCTCCAGGAGAAAATCTGTTCTTTGCTTCTTCCAACCTGTAGAAGCTGCTGGCATCCCTTGGCTCATGGCTCTACCTACCACTCTAATCTCTGCTTCTGATCTAACATCTTTCACGACCAGCTTTGGTTCTCCTGCCTCCCTCTTAAAAGGAACCTTGTTATTACTCTTGGCCTACCTAGATAATCCAGGATAATCTCCCTATCATCTCAAGGTGCTTAATTTAATCACATCTGCAAAGTCCCTTTTACCATGTAAGGTAACATGTTCACAGATTTGGGGACTAGGAAACAAACATTTTTGGAAGGCCATTATTCTGCATGCTGCAGTCCATCTCTGCCCCACACATTCACTCCATACCAAATAAATTCACCCCTTCCAAATGTGTTTAAAAATTTCAGTCCATTATAGCCTCAACTCAAAATCCAAAACCTTATCTGAATCTCACTAGGTTAAAAGTCCCAAATCTCATGATTTAAATTATCTAAATCAAGTATAGGTGAGGATTTGGGTATGATTCCTGGGGCACAATACCTCTCCATCTGTGCACCTGTGAAACAAATTACCTGCTCCCAAATACATTGGTATGATAGGCATAGGCTAAAAGTTATAGATATTCCCATTCAAAAACCAGAAAATGGAATGAAAAAAGGAACTACCAGTTCCAAGAAATTTAGAAATCCAGCCAGGCACACTCCATTAGGTTTCAAGCCCTGGAAATAATCTCTGGCTTGCAGCTTCATCCTTTGGGCTTTGACTCCCTCCCAGAACATCTTTCCTTTTTCATGAGAGGTGGCACATGCATGTAGATGATTAGTTTTATCAGCTTGTTTCTGGCCTGTAGAACTGGTGGGGCAGGGAGTGGGGTGGAGATGGGTCCAACCACCTTCTTTCATTTCATACTCTCTCTGTCCCTTTCCATTTAAGAGGTGGTGTTTCTGCTGGTATAACATTCTCAAGAAAATTGTGGGTCTCCTATGTGTGTCATGGGAGACAGAAGGCTCCTCCATGGATCTTTCCTGGATAATATTTTTATTTTTGGCTTTTAATGAAATGGCCAAGGGGATCTATGAGTTACACCCTCAAACTCTTCAAGGAGCTTTTTGTGTGACCGAATACTCAGACCTTCTGATTTTTTTTTTTTGAGAAATTTGGAAAAGGTTGTACAGCTGTACCCATACCTCTTTCTACAGAGCAGACTTTCCTGACAGTGAGTCTCTTATTTTAGTCCCTTTTGCCATTTGGGTAGGCTGAGAATTTCCCAAATCATCAAGTCCTGGTTCCTTTACATATTTTAATTGAATGTTTTATTGAGGTATAGCTGATATGCAACATTATATATGTTTCAGGTATACAACATAGTGATTCACAAGTTTTAAACATTGTATTTCATTTATACTTACTGTAAAATATTAGCTATATTCCCTATGTTGTACAATATCTCCTTGTGGCTTACTTACGTTATAC